GGGCGACTTGGGGAGGAGTGGTTCTGGGACAGGGAAACACACCCACCGTATTTCCTAAAAGCTAAACAGCACCTCCCACCTGAAGCCCTTTCAGAAACAGGCTAGTGAGTGATTAAGACGGACAGATGGCCAGCAGGCAGAGGTGGGCAGAGGTGGAGCCTGGGGAGCCAGGGGAAGTTTGCTGACCAGCCCTGACCCCACGGTGCTAACAAACCTGCTTCAGGGGGCAGATTGGCCCTTCTTCAGGCAGCCAAGGCCTGTGGAGACACAAACAGTGAATAGGTGGATCACTTGGAGCTTCAAGCAGGAGCTGAAAGCCAAAGGAGGGCAGTCCCTGACGGTGTCAGCAGCCACCTCCAGAACAGGAAGCTCAGAATTGGCAGACAGAGAAGAGTGGGGTCTAAGTGAGCTCCCAGAGAGCACTACACTCGGCTGAAACAAATGCCAATTCACTTTCTTTCTTTCTTTCTTTTTTACTTTTTTCTTCTCTTTTCCTCACTTTTTCCCTCTATTTTCTTTTTTATTTTTCTCTTCCCTTTCTTTCTTTTGCCTTTTTAAATAAATATTCTATATCTATCTGTGTTATTGATTTCTTATTATTCTAGTCTCTGTTGTTTCATTCATATATCTAACTTTCCTCTTTCCTTTTGCTGCTCAGTTTTCTTTTTTTTGACTACTCAGTTTTTTTCTCTTTTTCTCCTGCTTTTTCATCCTTTTTCTTATTATAAGTCTATCTGCTTTCTCCTACATTTTCCTTTATAAATTATTTTCTTGTTTTTTCATTTTGTTTCTCCCTTCTCTTATTTTAAACCTTTTTCCTGCCCCTATGCCTCTAATTCTTTACTTTTACTTTCTTTATTTCAGTTCTGCATCTATATATTCCGCCACCATTTTCTGTTGGTTTTTTGTTTGTGCTTCTTTTGTTTTCTTTTGTCCTTGTATTTTTTTCTTTATTTTTTTCTACCGTTCTTGCTCTCTCTTCTCTTTCTGAATGCTCTCTTTTCTAGTGGTTGCGTTTGTTGGTGCTGTAGGGGTCTTATGTACACTTTTGTTTTCTATCTTCTACTTTATATTTTGTCCTGTTCTATTTTGTTTTGTTTGGTCAGCATCTCTACCACAGCTTTTGTGACATGCTTAGGGGTGGCACATAGTCAGCCAGTCTGAGAGGAGGCTTCATCCATGAACAGGGCAATAACACTCAAAACCCAAAACAACAGGAGAAGCCAAATAACTCAACTAAGGGGCTTTCCTAGAAAACCCAGCTCAGGAGGTCTAAGAGACAGGACCACTGGGTCCCACAAAATACCTACTGCATAAGACTATCCCACAAAATCTGGGTGGCACAGCAGTTTTATCTAATACACAGAAACAAAAACAAAGGGATAGCAAACTGGTGAGACAAAGAAACAATCCCCAAAATTAAAGACATGGAAAAAAAACAGAACAGGAACTAAATGACATAGAGGTAAATAATTTGCCAGATAAAGAATTCAGAGAAGGAGAAAAACCAAGATGGCGGCATAGGTAAACACCGGAGTTTGCTGCCTCGAACAACCACTTCAAAAATACAACTAAAAGACGGAACGGACATCATCCAGAACCACAGGAAGGCTGGCTGAGTGGAAATTCTACAACTAGAAGGAAAGAGAAAAGCAT